ACTCAGCCTTCCATCCTTCCGAGGTGGGTGAAATGAGGACCTGGACTGTGGGGGCGATATGCTGACTCTGTAAACCGCTTAGAGAGGGCTGAAAGTCCTATGAAGCGGTATATAAGTCTAACTGCTATTGCTAAGTAAAAAACAATCCAGAAAGTATACTTCCATAGTATGAATTACTTCCATAATTGTGTCAAGAAGTCTACATGGAAAATTATAAACTAACTAGGAGTCCAGGTGGATTTTCTTTTATTGAAAATGGATTTTAAATATGGCAGGCTATAAGAATGATATGGAAAAAGAAATATGTTACACCGGATATATAAATATAAAGAGATGATGCCTCTTCCAACTCTGTTAATCTGAAGGGATATACAAACCACAAACCAAAAAAACATTTGGGTTTCCTATATTGATTTACAAAAGAGATTTCTTAGTTTTTTGAAGAACTGTTTGAGAAAGGATAATGAAAAGAAATAAAGTTTTAGAATGTTATTTGACGGGACTAAATATCAAGATTGCTGGAAATGAAAGGAAGGATGTGTTTATTTGAGGAAGGGTTATATATAAAATCCTTGATGCAGTTTTGCTGACCAGGATTGAAGGATAAGGCTTTAAGAATTGGTTGCTAGGCAAGAAATAAGATATGGGAAGAAGAGACCATTGGTGTATTTTAAGAGGTGGTGATAACTTTAGTTGTTTGTATTTGATATGATGAAGTCATTACTTTATATATGTTTTCTTTACTACATTTGTATTTTTATTTTCTATTTTTGTTTCTTTTTAAGATTTATATTTAATATTCTCTTTAAAGAGGACCATTTATTATTTATTAAATTTTTATGCCACCCACATCACTGTTGCAGCTTACAGAACGATACCAAATTATACCAAACGCATATATGAAAAAAATAGAATTTCAATTTACTGTAGCGTTGTCAAATGCCACAATCAGTTTTTTTATTAGCATTTTTACTTAATGCATAAGTGCTCTAAAGGGAAGAAATTGCTATAGCTGTGATTAAGATTACAACCTTCCTTACTTAAGGGACTCAAGATTTAAGAAACTCACTGAATTCAATAAGACTGATTTCCAAGTATACAAAAACAAGATTAGCCAGTGCGAGCAATATAATAAGAGTTGGAAGACTTACACATTAGAATGTATCTCATTATGGCATTGTGGAGGAATGGAATGTTGTTGATTATATCCCAGATGCCTTTGAAGTGTGTGAGTATATAATGCACAGTGTCTGGAGCAGGCTTTAACTTAAGTTTGAGCCAAGTAAAAAATTCCGCTGCATAAAAAATATAGAAACAAATTTTATTAGCAAAATATATTTTCTCAAGTCAGATGATTAGGTGATAAATCAATACTATTTGCACCAGCATTTCTCAATATTTCTTGTACAGATTAGTTGAAAAGAAATGGTGCTTTCAGGTGTTTTAAAAAAAAATTATTTACTAATCAAAGCACAAATATAATAAAAATGTATCTCTTTGATTTGTCTCCATCGTCAAATTCATGAAAGTTGTATGCTGTAGGCTTGAGCCTATATATCTTGTTTGCTTAATTATAGATGATTAAAACTTTCCGCATTTATCTCCCTTAACCCTTAAATATAGTATAACCTTACCACTGAACACTGCCTTAAGCTACATAAATAGTTATCTTATTTTTAGACACTTAAAAAAGAAGTCTATCATTAATCTGCCCAGTCATAATCTATAAAGGTTATGGGTTTTTTTAAAAAAATAAACTCATTATATCAATTATAATATTTTCAGAAATACATACGTTTAGTGCAATTTTCTCCATAAAAACCAGTCCGTGTACAGTCACATTCATATCGATCAAAACCTTTCGTCATGCAGAAACCTCGGTTTTGGCATGGATTTGAACAGCAAGGATTGACTGAAATAGAATTAAAGACATATGAGGCCGTTTGAGTTAAAATCATGTAAAGTCCCATTAAATTAGTGCTAGTTGTGCAGATACACAAATCCTTCTCATTCAATACTATCAGATCACATTCCTCTACGCAGCTACATCTTTGAGATTGACAAACTTCACCCAAGGCACAAAAAGTCACAGGACAACTTAGTTTTAGCAGCCAATATTTAAAATGTCAAAGGACCGAAAGGTCTCAAAAATTGTTTGTGACTAGGGGGCAGAAGGCTATCATAGACTGTGAGTTAACCAACTGTCGTAAAGCTACATTATTAAATACTTGAACATGCTTTGCTTCTCTATTGATAGCTGTATCAAGACCATATGTTGTTAAGATTTATATTTTGCCTCACCTTTACAGGAATATAAATTGGTCTACATTTCTTCCAATTATCTACTTTTTCCAATCTTGTTCCCATCCCAAACACACCTGCTCAAATTCATCCAGGGAGTTGCCATGACTAAGGATGAACTTGGAAGTTGGTTTCCCCCCAACTCAAGATTGACATTTTAACCATTATTTCATGATGGTTCCAGAAAGGGACTAGTTGGTGCTATTGAAGCTTTTCATCTACGGAACTCTTCAGCCTTATTTGAGATCCTAGAAGTTTTGTTATGAAATGCCTATGCTCTACTGATGAGCTCTACGCACTGCAGTGAAATAGACAAAACAGCTGAATATTAATTTCAGCACTAGTGGGGAGGACAGTGGCTCCCAATCACATTAGAGGATGCCAGGCTAAATTAGGGATGCAGAAAACGATGCAGGACAATCATAGTTTAGTGCCCCAATAAGGATCATGGGCTGCTTAAGAAAGCCAAGCAGACATCTGTACTCCGTTGAGAAGAGTGTTGTCTAAGTGCTTGGTTGGGTAATAAGAGATCAGCCCCCCAACCTTTCTCACTCCAGTATGTGCCTAACATATTAAAATAGGCGGGGGGGGTTGGACTAGAAGACCTCCAAGGTCCCTTCCAACTCTGCTATTGTATTGTATTGCATTGTATTATTGTAATAGAAATCCAAAAGGCCAGGAAATAAAATGTGGAAAACTATTTATTATTCCACGTTGCATACCCTCTTCCATATAACATTTTTGATTTCCACTTTTAACACATTTCGTCAATAAATTACCAGTTTTGTCATGTCAGAAAGATACTTAAGTAACATAGGAATGCATCTTTCTCTGTGGCGGAGCCCTGCATCTATGAAAATCATGAATTCCCCAAGCCCTGTGTACCTATTTACACTCTTGAGAAAACCCCACTAAGTATAATAAAGTTCCCTTATACATTTTACACCTCCTTCCAGCTTGCTCCTATCTCAAACTGACATTCTGCGATAATTGCCGGGTTTTGTTTTTTTTTAAAGGTAAAATACTCCCTTCATCTTTTATTTCTTTATTCCCGAAGAAAGTGAAAAGTCACCAGGAATGGAAATAAAAATCGTGCCTTTTGGAAAGCTTTGGTAAACCTCAAAAAGGGAAAGCCAACAATATAGAAAGAAGAAACAGGAAAACAAAACACAAAACGGGAAAAATTAGCAATACTAACCTGCTTGACCGAAAGCCAAGAGCGAAAATAAGAAGAGGGCTGGAACAATCATGTCCAATTCTGGGTAGAAAACAGCCAAGTCGGCGCCCACTTTTTTCTTCACTTCTCCTAAACTCCTAAACTTCTGCAGAACTTTCCAACTCGGGGCGGGGGGGAGTGTTTCTCCTCCGCCCGCTGCGCTTTCTGCGAGGAACCTAGCCAACTCGGAGTGACTCTGGATGCCAACCGCATCATGCTCGGCCCTTTTATGCTCCCTTGGGTGACTCAACGCCTTTCCCGGAAGGGGACCGCCCTTCATACGCAAATAGGGCGCAGGTTGGAATATTGATGTTTGGAGATTCCTCGGTTGGTTTTTGGAAAGGCACGCAACGCACGCGCCCCTTCGCGCGCCCGCGTGGTCGTGTTCCCTCTCCCCCCTCCCCAACGCCCCGCTTTTGCCGCAGGGAGAGTCGAGCGCTCCTCCGGGACCCGAAGTTTTGTTGGTCCTCGCCCCCCTCGCCCTCTCTCCGTTTGGGACTCTGCAGTCTGCTCCGCTGAGGCTCGCAAGGGTGGTTCTTGGTGCGCAGAAAGCGCGCCTCTCCCTCCGCTGATCCTCCGGTGGCTTTTGCTACGCGCGCGCCTCGGGCTTTAACTAAGCCTTTGCTCCGCCGCTGCTCTGCGCCCCGTTCCTAACTGGATGGGATAGCAATAGCAATAGCAGTTAGCCTTATATACCGCTTCATAGGGCTTTCAGCCCTCTCTAAGCGGTTTACAGAGTCAGCATATTGCCCCCNGAGGAGGCCAACCCTGTGAGATCTAATGGGTCTGTGGGAGGTAATTGGCAGCAGGCGGTCTCTCAAGTACAGAGTAGTATCAATAAGGCTATTGTTTTTTTTCTGTTCTTAAAAGGTTTTCAGATATGGTAGTGATATAACAAAGAACAGCTATGCCATAATATGTTGGGAACTATAGACATATACATATATAAAAGTCTGCTCCCTCATGTCAGTTGAAATGCAATTTTGATCAAGGTGGAAAAAAACGAAGAAAATCTTACCCTTCCAGCCCTTTGCGTGGAGAAAGATTGCACCATGTGAGAAAGCCCGTGTTCTAAAAGAATGGAATTGTTATACATGAACTGCTGGTACGTATAGTCTTGGTTTTGGATGTGAAATGTATCAGGCAGAAGTGGATGCCAGTGGTAGAGGGTATTGAACTCTGCTGCTATTCTGTTCTGATATTGAAACCTCTGATTGAAGAGAAGCTCTGGATCAAACTTCAGCTTGAAATGGTACCCGCTTAAATGTTGCACATAATCTTCAATCACAATCTTGATGGTTTCTCCTTTTAAGAAAACACACAATAAAAATGAGCATTGCAGTTTAGATTCAACTGACAGCCCCAAATACCGAACCCCATTATTCCAAAATGCTTTTATTTTGTGCCGGGCAGAATTCTGTCCTGTAAACAGGCCAAAATAACCTCAATAATCCCAACCAATCTAAGAAATTATCTGCCTTGACTAACATTATAATGTTTCCCATGATTCTGTGAAGTTCAGGTAGGGGTTAGGGTGTAATAGCCATCTTTTGCAGTTTTCCTTCAGCAAATGGCATTCAGGCAGGTAATGCAAATTAATTGTCATACGTTGCATTAATATCTGAAAAATGCATCATAATAAGGTTCCTCCCCATATTCTTTTCTGTTCTGACCCCCCTTCTTCGCTCATTCACAGATGACAGTCAGACAGACTTAAAAGGAAATAACTTTATCAGTCCTGGCTCACGCTGGCTGCGAGNTACCCACCTCGGAAGGATGGAAGGCTGAGTCAACCTTGAGCCGGTGAGATTTGAACAGCCGAACTGCAGATAACAGTCAGCTGAAGTAGCCTGCATTTAATCACTGCGCCACCTCGGCTCATGGGATTCGCTCCATCATCCTTTAAAGTCCCCCTTTAAATTCCCAATTAATGTGGCCGCTAATAAAGCACTACTTGGTTGCTAAGTATGGGTTTCCCCTTTCTCCCCCTATTTTATTTTATTTTACTTTCGGCTGGTGACAAGAAGCGTTTTCCCCCAAACCGCTTCCTGTGCGAGATTTCAGCCGCTGTTTTCCTTTTTTCCCTTTAAAAAAAAAAATGCAATTTCTTATTTTTAAACACTCTGAAATTGTCAGGAATCCATGCAGCAAACCAAGGATCATTTACTTGGTTTGAAACCAAAAGAAAACCGCTTTTGAATTGTTTCGTTTGTGTTCTTTTTTTATCTATTGAAAAGTTTTAATAAGTTTTACATATGTTTCCCCTTCCCTCCCTCTACCCCAACCCTGCCTCCCCTCCAACTCTCCCTCCACCCCCAACTTCCCAGAGCAAAATATAGGGTAATAAACATTTAACAATCATACACTAACATAAGCTAACTAACTATAGCATCCTATCTCCCTCTTGTACAAGTGTTTGTGTTCTTAAACAATCCCTAGGTAGTCACCCAACTTTCTTGTGACCATTTACAGGTAGTCCTCGACTTACAACAGTTGTGACCGTTCAAACAGCAGTCAAAAAAAGTGGCTTATGGCCATTTTTTTCACACCACCGTTGCAGCGTCCCCCTGGTCACCCGATCAAAATTCAGATGAATTTTAGCAACTGGATTTCGTATTTAGGATGGTTGCAGAGGGAATCATGTGATCATCCCCCTTTGTCCCCACCTGACAAGCAAAGGCAACGGGAAACCAGTTTCACTTAACAACTGGGTTATGGCTTTACCAACTGCAGCGATTCGCTTAACGACCGTGGCATGAAAAATCGTAAAAACGGAACAAAACTCATTTCATAAATGTTTCGTTTCAGAACAGAAATTTGGGGGCTCAGTTGTGTTATACGTTGTAAACTCTCCCTTCCAGGGATGTTATATTGGAACAGCCGTGGAGCGATTTGGAGTTTTCTGTCCCACGCTTGCAAGAAAACAATTAAAGGTTAAAATACGATAAGTCTCCCAAAATTGGGAAGTCAGTGGACGTATCTGGAGATTTAAAAATGGATTGTTGGTGCAATCACAAAATTACCGGCGAGTTGACTCTGCACTAATCACTCGGGGTTTTCCCCAATTTTGAGAGAAACTGCTGTCCACATTCATCCTTGAATCAGCAAAAAAATGACAAGTCAATTTGCTGTTGGCCGCTTGGGAATCCTGGCCTTTTTTTCCCAACTCACTGGCAGTTATTGAGTTTCTTCCATTGGCAGCTAACTTATTTTATGGGAAGGCATAAGTTAGACTCTTAAAGAGAGTCCGATGAGATGAATTGCAACACGCAACAATTTTACCCCTTTTCATAAAACGGCTATGTAAAAAAATATGCTACTTTAACAATATGTTTTGTTATTTTTTCCCCCCGTTATAAACTAACATGAGTCTCCCCCTGCACGGACCTCTTTCCGAGAATTCCTGTTTCCTAACCAATGTCCTACAGAACTTGGATTATTTTGGAATAAAGAAGAAAACAACACTTTAAAACAGAGTTAAGCCTGTTCCGTGCTGGAGATGAGATGAAGGGAATATCACAGGAACACAGTAGAGGGGGGAAAATGTTTCTAGAGCATGTATGTAACCGTGCTTGGAATTAGAAAGCGGAACAATGTGCTCAGATTGGCAAAAGGCGATACAGCAAGCTGAAGCTTGTTCTCAATTTTCTAGCCAGCTGCTACTTCTCTTTCTTTCTCCCCTCCTACATGTTATTTAAGCATTCAAACCGCAGTCCTCAATAGGAATACAATAGCCGAGTTACATAACATTCAAAGTTATAGTTTGTTGGATACGTCAACCCCCGTCCCCCCCAATGACTTGTTTGACCTGAATTAAGGCCATTAAAACACAATGGCTAGATTGACACAAAACATGATGGCAAAACTCATTATTCTGATGAAATAAATATTTACTATTGTACATAACAAGTAAATTGATGGCAGTGTTAGAGGTTCACAATATCACACCATAATAAAGCTATTTCCTGCCAAAAGCCAGAATCCAAAACGTGCTTTTTTGGTGGAAGTATTGTTTATATGAGTGCCGGGTAAGTAAATGCTTACACTTAACACATTTCAAATGTTGTATATGAAGGCTTAAAGCTAAATTTTCTACGATTTGCCCATCTTCACATTGTACTGCCTGCAGGCAATGTTCTGAAATACCGCTAAGAATGATACCCAGTTGAGTATCCCTGTTATCTTACAGATTGGATAAAGAATCTTTGAGCCTCCAAGTTACAGTTCCTGTCAGTCCAGTCGGAAAGGCTAACGGGTAGGAAGAGCAACAGTCGTAGCATTGCGGTTTTTTGAAATGCCACACATTCCTCCCCTATGGGCCAAGGTGGCGCAGTGGTTAAATGCAGCACTGCAGGCTACTGCTAGATCAGCAGGTCAGCGGTTCAAATCTCACCGGCTCAGGGTTGACTCAGCCTTCCATCCTTCCGAGGTGGGTAAAATGAGGACCCGGATTGTTGGGGGCAATATGCTGACTCTCTGTAAACCGCTTAGAGAGGCCTGAAAGGCCTATGAAGCGGTATATAAGTCTACTGCTATTGCTATTGCTATTGCTATTGCTTTGCATGAATGCGGATTTTAGTTCCCTGAAGTTTGGCCTTTGTGCAGAAAAGTTCAAGGAGGATATCTGCAGAAATAAGATGTAAGTTTTTGAGGTAATATAAATTTCTGGGGCTAATAAATAACAACTCCCCCCTCCCTAAAATCCATCTAGTGAATAGCACTTAGTGGTGGCGGAGTAATGGCACACTTTGGATTGAGAATGGAATGAGTGAAAGGAGAAATATAATAATGTATTCTGAACAGGAGAACTCCACAATTTAAGGTTTCATTGCAAGTCCCACTTGTTCTGCCAGATACCAAAATAGGGTTGGATCATCCTCCCACTTGTGTATTTATACACTTTGTGTAAGTCTCTACTAAAGATTTGCAATGTGATCCTCTGAGGGGAAAAAAAAAATCTCACTGAAGGGATCTTTGAATGCATGAATGCATATTCTACCCTTATTATGGAGCACGGGGTTGTAAAAGAGATTATATCAGACTATCTTCTTCTTTATGCTTTAGGAGAAAACATCAAAGCAGAGGCAAATCTGTTTCGGATTGCAATCATCGCTGTAAATGTGATATAATCAAGAGAAAGGCAGGTTGATTGCTGGGTTAACCTGAACAGTCTGGTTATATGAGCTCTTTAGCACGTATAAACTTCATCAAGCATAAAGAGCAGGGCTTAAAGTAGATACAGGAAGTATAAACTGACTTTTCATACTGCATCATAGCCCAGAAATCAGGTACAATGAAATTCAGGATTAAGCTGATGGCCCCTTAAAGCCATTATCAAGTTGTGTGGCGTTCCTGGTGCATTTCTTGCTAGTAGATATATAAAAGATACAAATTACAAAATGGAATTTATTAGGACCGCAGATTAAACCTAAGGAAAATGCAGTATTTATTTTCAAAAAAACATGTTGCAGCTTCAGTAAATGGTCTTGCAAACAAATAATCAGCCTTCAAAACATTACAATGATAATGCTTTGCTTTTATTTTTATGCTTAGTGTATTCCAATGTTATTTTACTATGAAACAACTGAACATGCAGAAATAGGGTTTATCTTGTCTTATGGCGCCCAAAGGGATATTTGTGTTTGATGAGATTCCCAAATACTTTTGGGGTGAGCTGGAGAAATGAGCAAGTATTCTCAATTTTTCCTAACCTTATATATTATTTCTTTTTGAAGTTTTAATGCTACCCAAAATCTCAATGTGCACAAGAAAAATGCAGGAAGTTGCATGAACATTAACTAAAACCTTTTTTTTTAACAATGGAAGGCATTAATGCTTTATTCTAACCAATAGCTCACTAATTTCTCCTTTTCACTAAAAGTAAGATTGATTTAATATTGATTCAGTAAAGGGGCTTCTTAGTCATTCATAGTGTTCAATGTAGCAGTCAAAAATAATACTTCATATTATTATTTGCAGCACTTCAGGATGGCTGGCAATTAATGCCAGAAGTTACAGCAACATTTGTGTTGCAAAACTTGCAAATTCTCTCAGCATATTAGTTTTTCTGATGAAGATATTTTTCATCTTCGCTTGACTGTAGGACTTTTCTCAATTTAAATTTTCAAGGATATTTCTTAAATAACGTAACTTTTCAGATCAAGTATCCTCTGAGGGGGTACTTGGTGTTCTCTGAGCTTGATTGCTTTCCTGCAGAAGTTTCATTACCCAAAGTACGGTAGATAATGTCATCTCTGTGTAATGAAATGTCTGCAAGAAAATAACAAAGCTCAGAAGGCACCAAG